CTCACCCCGAGGCAGGCCCGATGGATGGAGTATCTGGAGCAGTATGTAACGGAGCTGAAAATCGAGTACCGCACTGGCCGCCTCAACCCTGCTGATTCCTTGACTCGGCCTCCTCAACCTCTGCTCACCACCATCGGAAGTGTCACATGGGACGAAAGCTTCATCAAGAAATTCACCAAAGGGTATCGTCGTGATCATTTCTATCTCTACTCTGCTGCTGATGATAAATCTGTCTTCTACGAATCCCCCTTTTGGTATAAAGCAGATTCCCGAGTCATCTGCGTCCCCGCAGAGCGCAAGCTTCGCCATCTCTTGCTACGCGAGCATCATGATCAGAATGGGCACTTCGGAGTGGACAAAACGCTTGCAACCATCTCTTCCAACTTTTTCTGGCCCAAGCTCTCTCGAGACGTCCGCTCCTACGTACGCAGCGCCCACACATGCCAGTGCAACAAAGCTCGCAATGCTGCACCCTACGGCCTGCTACACCCCTTGGAAATCCCTCAGCTCCCATGGACTCATGTGACACTCGATTTCATCACAGATCTGCCTCGCACCTCCTCCCATCACAACGCCATCCTCACCGTAGTGGACAAGCTGAGCAAGATGGCACATTTCCTCCCTACCTCCACCACTGCTACAGCTGAGAATGTCGCTGATCTCTTCTTCAAGGAAATAGTACGTCTCCATGGCATCCCTTCCGTACTAATCAGTGACCGTGATTCTCGGTTTGTTGGCAGATTTTGGCAATCCCTTTTCAACAGATTTGGCACCAAGATTCATCTCTCCACTGCCTATCATCCTCAGTCCGATGGGCAGACCGAGAGGATGAATCGAACACTTGAAGATGCTCTGCGCGCATGCGTGAATGCATGGCAAAATGATTGGGACCAGCATCTGCCATCGATCGAATTCTCCTACAACAACACGGTAAACCTTGCCACGAGACAAACCCCATTCTTCCTCGCTACAGGGCAGCAACCTCGCACACCGGCTTCTCTCGTACGCAGCAGCAATACCAAACCGGCAGCCGAATTCCTCTCTACTCGGGAAAAGACCATTGCAGCAGCACGCGCTTCCTTGCTCAAATCCCAACACCGAATGATCCGGTACGCCGATCAACACCGTCATGACGTTCAGTTCCACGTAGGTGACCAAGTCCTCCTCTCTACCACAAACCTCCCCTTGCTGCAGAAAGGTCTCACTCGTAAACTTGCACCTCGTTTCATCGGCCCTTTCCCCATCACCCAAGTTCTCTCTCCTCTCACATACCGTTTGAAACTTCCACCACACATCAACATACACCCTGTTTTTCACGTTCAGCTGCTACGTCCTTACCACATTCCTCCAGCCCACTTCCCCCTCCTACCTCTGCCTCCTCGGCCTCCTATGTTCACACCCAACCCTGATCTCTTTGAAGTTGAGAAAATTCTCTCCCATGAAACTTCTCCTCGCGGCACTTACTTCATTGTTAAGTGGCGTGGAAAAGACTCCTCTCACAACCTCTGGACACCCGAAACAAACCTTCACAATGCCCAGAGAGCCCTTCAGAGCTACCTTGCATCTGCTCAATTACCGAGGACGGTGCTTGCTGGAGAGGGGAGTAATGTAACAAGGCGAAGGCGATCTCGCCGTCCGCGATTTCGCCAACTCAACTCCTTGTGATCCGAACCAGAATTCGGAACACACCCTAAGTACATTTCGGGAATTCAATGTTGGAATCCAACATTGAATTGTGCGGCTCGTAATTCTCAGTTTCCAACATTGGGAACAACTCCAGAGAGCATGCTACTGCTGGACACAACGGGGCAGAGAATTACCTACAGCGCAGCAGATTAGGTGACTGCACAAGGCTCTACAGCTATGACTACTTCCAGCAGTGCTCATACTCATCATTATCAACAACATGGACGACAACAAGACAGTGATTTCCTAGGCTTTGCTTATTGGTTCTATAACTAGACAACAAGGCTAGGATGCTATGTACATAATAATAAATGCTATGCCTTGCTGTTCCTAGCTCTAGGAAGGTGAATGGCGACCTGAGCGACCTGCTCAAGGCGCCCATGCTATTATCCTAGTATATTAGGATATGTCTTTAATGTGTAAGCCATCATATGATCTAGTAAAGTTACTATCTTTCTGAAATTCTTCCAAGAAAGCCTTCTTCTACTAGTACTATCTAAAAACAACTTAGTGGAACAAGGCTACGGCAGAGTCAAGAAGAAATTCAGAGGAGGAGGTCGGCATATAGCTGCAGCCCATATTACAGCTCTTGGTCAATGGTCGTGGACAGTTTCTCCTAAGCCCATGCTTTCTCAGCTATGGCGCTTCTTACTGAGCAGCACAACCCATACCAAGCTGCCTCAAAGCTGGTGCCTATAGCACGTCCAGCAATACCGCCTTATATGCCTAGGAGAGATGTAGAAGGTAAGATGTACAAGCTTCCTTCCTAGCCAAGCATCCTTGTGGGTGAAATAAGGTGCTTCAGCTCTTTATATGTTACAGAGCTTTGGACTAGGAGCAATGAAGTTCTCAGAATCAGAAAAAGGAAGAATAGAATTTAGACACATGATTGCCTTGCTTGTAATTGCTCTATTGACTATCAGCAATTTAGAGCAAAAGCAAGAACATATGAGTGTAATATTCTCAACTTCCAGCAAAGGAGTCACGTTGTAGAGAGTAGAAAGAAGATGCACGAACTCCAAAGAAGTTGGAAACGGATGTGAAGACCAAGTGTTTATGCTTCAGCAGAAAGATTTGAGGTCAAGAAATTGGATTTCAGAACGCTTTTTACCCAACTTCACCTCAGTTCAGAGAATTCGAGTGTAGGTCGAAGTAGTGTAGCAGTAGAAGATTTCTGGAGCAGCGGGGTCACTTCGAAATTCGAAAATCTGCTTCCACACTTTCAGGTTGGCTGAAATTCGCCCACTCACAGGTTCACGAACCTTGCAGCAGATTTCGATTTCACCACAGTAAATTTCGACTTCAGATTTGGAGCAGGAAGGTCCTCGCAATCAGGTGCAAGAAAGCCTCGTAGTTGTCCCAAGGTAGGACATGTCGAAGTAGTAGAAGTCAAAGCCGAAGAGAAGCGGCTAGCTACTAAGGACGAGTGTAGTAGTCGAGGTAAAGATTAGTAGCCAGCTTAGCACGAGAGTAGAAACTGAGGATCGAAACAGCTCTGATACCAGTGAAACAAGGCTACGGCGCTACTAAGAAGAGAGCGCCGTAGCTAGAAGAGAAGAAGAAGAATCAAGAAGAGAATTCTGAAAATAGAAGATCCAAGGATAAGAATACAAGATTCAGGGATGGATATTTATGCTAGGAGAAGAGAGACGTGCGACTCGGATAGAAAGTCCGTGTCGGCACGTTATCTAGCATAGCATCACGCCTCGATGCTATGCTCCGCTGTACAATCCTTCCTGACAGGGATAAGGATGAACGCTCGAGGCTAGCAAGTGTTGTTGTTCGTAGCTAGCTAGGTGACGTCTCCTCTTCCCTTTCGGAAATTCCCATGCTTTCCGCATGGTGAATTCCGAACCTGTTACAGACCAGCTTCTCAATTTTGCTTGCTGCTAATCTAAGCCATGGCGGCTCAACCTTTGCCTGCTCGAATAGGCAAGGCAATGCTAAATGGCTCCTCTTACATTCAATTCGAATGCCTCTTAGACTGTCACTTCCGTGCCACTCGAAGCTTACGGGATTGTAGGTGAATATTTTGCTGTTGCCTCGCATTCTAGGCCGACGCTCGAGCCGCATGTTCCTCGTGGTCGATAGGAGGTCGGTAGTGACCCACGGCTTCTTCGAGCCACCCAAGGAGACTTACATTACCCGCCGTGATGAAATTCTAACTTTCTTTCCTCCTGGTCACGAGATACGAAGTTCAATCGGATGTCCTATTCCTCCTGACTCAGCATATTTCCGGGTTGATCATGAGCGCGGCTGTGGCTAGACTGGCAGCATCCCTGCCTCTGCGGCACATCGCGAACGGTATAGGTGGATGATGCGAGTGAAGGCGGATGATGCGAGTGAAGGCGGATGATGCGATGCGAGTGAAGGCGGATGATGCGATGCGAGTGAAGGCGGATGATGCGATGCGAGTGAAGGCGGATGATGCGATGCGAGTGAAGGCGGATGATGCGATGCGAGTGAAGGCGGATGATGCGATGCGAGTGAAGGCGGATGATGCGATGCGAGTGAAGGCGGATGATGCGAGTGAAGGCGGATGGTGCGAGTGAAGGCGGATGGTGCGAGTGAAGGCGGATGGTGCGAGTGAAGGCGGATGGTGCGAGTGAAGGCGGATGGTGCGAGTGAAGGCGGATGGTGCGAGTGAAGGCGGATGGTGCGAGTGAAGGCGGATGGTGCGAGTGAAGGCGGATGATGCGAGTGAAGGCGGATGATGCGAGTGAAGGCGGATGATGCGAGTGAAGGCGGATGATGCGAGTGAAGGCGGATGATGCGAGTGAAGGCGGATGATGCGAGAGAAGGCGGATGATGCGAGTGAAGGGCGGATGATGCGAGTGAAGGCGGATGATGCGAGTGAAGGCGGATGATGCGAGTGAAGGCGGATGATGCGAGTGAAGGCGGATGATGCGAGTGAAGGCGGATGATGCGAGTGAAGGCGGATGATGCGAGTGAAGGCGGATGATGCGAGTGAAGGCGGATGATGCGAGTGAAGGCGGATGATGCGAGTGAAGGCGGATGATGCGAGTGAAGGCGGATGATGCGAGTGAAGGCGGATGATGGATGGGTTGCCTCGAAAGGCGGGAGGCGGATCGTCGGCGTGAAGGAGGTGACCTTTCAGTGCTCTGCTACTAGTGGCGGCGCGGTGACCAATAGCGAAGCCGCGATTTCGGCGGAAATCAATCAATCACGCAATGTTGGCAAGGTTAGCGCCCCGGGCGATTATTGATCGGCATGATCCCACCACGGTGAGCGGCTCTGAGGGATGGCGATTCGTGCTTGGAGACTGGTGAGGGGGTGTCAAGGAACGGGTGTTGATGGGAGGGAGGTTGAAGGAACGGGTTGTGAAGGAAGGGAGGCTGAAGGGAGGGGGGCTGAAGGGAGTGGGACTGAAGGGAGTGGGGCTGAAGGGAGTGGGGCTGAAGGGAGGGGGGCTGAAGGGAGTGGGGCTGAACGGAGTGGGGCTGAAGGGAGGGGGGCTGAAGGGAGTGGGGCTGAAGGGAGTGGGGCTGAAGGGAGTGGGGCTGAAGGGAGTGGGGCTGAAGGGAGTGGGGCTGAAGGGAGTGGGGCTGAAGGGAGGGGGGCTGAAGGGAGTGGGGCTGAAGGGAGTGGGGCTGAAGGGAGGGGGGCTGAAGGGAGTGGGGCTGAAGGGAGGGGGGCTGAAGGGAGTGGGGCTGAAGGGAGTGGGGCTGAAGGGAGTGGGGCTGAAGGGAGCGGGGCTGAAGGGAGTGGGGCTGAAGGGAGTGGGGCTGAAGGGAGTGGGGCTGAAGGGAGGGGGGTCGAAGGAAAGGGAGGGAGGGGGGGGGGGGAAGTTGATGTGTGTGAGAGGGGCGACCTGTGAGAGGCAATGAGTGATGGGCGATGTGGTTTGGAGCATTGTCCACAAAATCCTGAAACACTCCCTTCCCGCCCACCCATGCCCCCCTCCAACCACGCTCCGCTCCTGCTTGCCATCTCAATACCCTCCTCGCACCCACTCGCACAAACAACCATAGTGCTTGCCAAGGCACCACCTCAAGACCATATCGAACCCTTCCCTTACCGCGTTTCCTTACCCTTACGCACTCCCTTTCTCTTACCCCCTCCCCCTCCTTTACCCTCTCCCCCTCCCCTTACCCCTGCTTTCACGCTTGCCTTACCCCCCCTTCCCCTCCCCCTCCCCAGCGCCAGGCTCTGCCATCACGCTTACCCTCTCGCCACTCGTCCTCGTGGAACCACCCAGGCTGAGTGGAATGGGCGGGTGTCAGCAATGGGTGGCATGGCAGTGACCCGGGGGCACATGACATGCTGGGTGTTGCCAAGGTGAGAGTCGGTGAGGGGCGGGGAAAAAGCGTGTAGAAAGCACTTGAGGCACTCGAATCACTGCCAACGATGGGAAGCGGTAGCTTCATAGCTGGACGTCGCCCGGGTTGGGGGAGGCTCTGAGAGTCGCATCGCAGCTAAGGCGAGACTCGCTCTCGCATCTTCCCTCAACTCAACTACCTCCTTGTCCTCCCAATCCGTATTCCCTCTTCCCATGGCATCCATCCAGCCTCGCGTGTGTGTATCCCACATCAACGCATTGTGACTTTCTGAATTCTGCTTATTCTGCAGAAAAACATTTCTCAACAAATTCTTTCCCCTTCTCTTCCCCTTTCCGCTTCCCCTTAACCTCTTTTCGAGGGATGGACTATGGCGCTGTCTCACGTCCATTTCCCCTCCCCTTCCCTCCCTTCCCGATACCCTCTCCCTCCCCACCCCCTTCCTCATCCCCCAGCTGCGCACCTGCTTCTCTCACACCAACGTTTGCCCTACAGGTACCTGCTGCTACGGTGACAGCGCACTGCTCTCACCCGCGCTGTCCCTTCCTCTCCCTTTCCACCTCCCCAACCCCTCTCTCCTTGTACCACCAGCACCGGTTTTTCCTGCTTCTCCTGCACCGTTTTTTGGGCAATAATAGTCTCCCGGCCCGGCAACTTGGACGTGGTACCGTTCATGAGGAACCTATGGGCTTCTGGCAGCATCTCCGCACCTGCTTCTCCTGCACCGGTATCCCTCCGCCCCACAAGCTCCTGCCCCTGCAGCGCAGGCGCACTGCTCGACCACGCAAAGGCTGCTGAGCATTGAGACATTTGTGTCCACACAGGAATGTTCCCTAACAAGGTACTAGTATTGCAAGATTCCGGTACTGCATAACAAACAGAAACCCAAAGAGGAAAAAAAAAAAATTTCATGGATATCAGGTGTGTAACAAACCCTAGGAAATTCATCCTCTGTATTAGAGTTTTCTACAGTAAAATATGGGAACCTCCAATACAATACAAGCCAGAATTCTCTAAAGTTCACTATCGATATTATTACCGTGGTCACACTCGCAGGATTTGAGAAGTACTGTACAAACAGAAAATTTAACCCCAGCATATTTATGTTGTACAGGTACATTAGGGAACATATAACAGTACTCGCCTTGCCTACAGCCAACAGGCAGGTTCCATTAACACATAAGCTGCGGAGAGTCCTACTGCCTCCCCAAGCCTTACACCCGGCCCTTCCTGGGCTTCGTGGAGCGCTTCTTGCAGTCAGGCAGGGGCTTTCCACAGAGCTTGGGGTTGCCGAGGCAGAAGTAGGAGGTGGGCAGGTCGGAGAGAGAGGGGGGGATGGAGCCAGAGAGGGCGTTGCCAGCGAGCTGCACTTGCAGGGAGGGGGCAGCAGCATGCAGCAGCACAGGGATGATGCCTGACAGCCCGCTCCACGACACGTCCAGCTCCTGCAGAGCCGTTAGGGATGCCAGCCCTGCAGGGATGCTGCCGCTCATGCGGTTGCGCGCCGCTAGCAAGGATTGCAGAGCGGTGAAGCGCGAGAGGGACGAGGGGAGCGAGCCGGAGAGCTGGTTGGTGGAGACGTTGAGGGAGAGGAGGGAGGAGGCGCAGGAGGAGGAGGAGGAGGGGAGGAGGGAGGAGAGGGGTCCGGAGAAAGCATTGGAGGAGAGGAGGAGAGAGGCGAGGCGCTGCTTGCCCTGGCAGAAGGCAGGCAGGGAGTCCTTGAGCTTGTTGCGAGAGAGGTCCAGGTGCGTTAGCAAAGGGACCAGGGCGAGGGAGCGCGGCAGCGAGCCTGGGAGCAGGTTATTGGAGAGGTCCAGGTGGGATAGGGCTGTGAGGCCGGTGACAAGAGCATCAGAGATGCTTCCTGTGAGCTTGTTGAACGATAGGTCCAAGTAGGCAAGTTGGCTGTTCCCCTGGGGGGGCTCTGGGATGGGGCCAGAGAGCTGGTTGTGTGAGAGGTCGAGCAGCGAGAGGCACGAGGAGAAGACGAAACCAGTGAGCTCATTGTGGCTCAGCCGAACCTCTGCCCCGCACGCACACACCAGCCCTGCTGAAACGGCTGCCTGTTGCTGTGAGCACGGATAGTTATTCTCTGCAACGCTGCCAGTGAACGCATTGAAAGAGAGGTCCAGGTATGCGAGGCGCTGCTGACCCTGGCCCAAGGCAGGCAGGGAGCCTTTGAGCTTGTTGCGTGAGAGGTCCAGGTGGGTGAGAGGAGGGACACGAGCGAGCGAAGGGGGCAGCGAGCCGGAGAGCAGGTTGTTGGAGATATTTAGGTGGGTTAGGGCTGTAAGGCCAGCCATGAGGGCGCTGGAGATGCTTCCTGTGAGATTATTGGAAGAGAGGTCCAAGAAGGAAAGGGGTAGGCGTGTGGTGCCACCAAGCTGAGGAACGATGCCAGTCAGCTGATTGTGCGACAGATCGAGTATCTCCGATTGTAAGTTGTTGAAGACAGCAGAAATTGAACCCGTGAGCAGGTTGTGTGAGAGGTCCAACTCGTGCGTCACTCTATGTCCTAGGAGCGGGGCAGGGATGGGTCCCGACAGCTGGTTGTGGGACAGACGCAGAACCGCCGAATTGAACCCCTTGGACAAGTCTCCGAAGAAGTCCTGCAGCGGGGCGCTGATGCGGTTGTGTGAGAGGTCCAGGCAGTCAGCGTGCCAGGAGGCATTGCTGCCGGGGCCCCACGTGAGGTGGTTGTTTGAGAAGTTTAGCGTGTGGAATTCTTGGTCGCGGGGGAAGAGTGTGGCTGCGCCGCATGAGAGCTCGTTGCTGCTGACGTCCAGACGGGTCAGCAGCAGAAACACCCCGCGGAGACCCCAGAAGAGAGGCGCACTGGAGGCAGCAGAGTTGCCGGGAGCAGAAGCGGCAGCGGGGAAGGCGGCAGCGAGCGCAGAGACGTCCCCCTGGAGGGCGTTCCCCTGCAGCTGCAGGTCTGTGAGCATCCAGAGCGCGCCGAGCTCCCTTGGCAAGCTGCCGTCCAGCCGGTTGTGGTCCAGCACCAGGTGTGTCAAACCCGTGAGAAGACCCACCTGCGCTGCAATGGACCCCGAAAGAGCGTTTCCCCCCACGTCTAGAATCTCCAAACTCGGTGACAGTGCTTCCACTGCTGCTGCTGCTGCTGCTGCTGTGGTGGTGTTCCCGCGGAGGGTGAGCTCTCGTAGCGAGGGGAGAGTGAAGAGGGCGGGGGGTATGGAGCCGGAGAGGTGGCAGTTGGAGGAGAGGTCGAGAGCGACAAGGTGGGAGAGGCGCGATAGGGACGGCGGCAGGCCGCCGGAGAGGACGTGCCCGGAGATGCGTAGCTGCGTCAGCTGCCCCATCGCTTCTGACAGACGCCCGCTCACACTCGCACTGCTGCTGCTGCTGCTGCTGCTCTCGCCTGGTAGGCCTTGCAGGAAGAAGCGCATGCTGTCGGGAGGTAACGGACGGGAGAGGTTGTATGACGGGCAGCTCAGCGCGTATTGGCTCTGCTCGTATTCACAGTCGGGCATTCCGCGACCACCTTGGGTTGCATTGTGACGTTGATGTTGCCCTCCAGGTGGAGTGTGTCCACGTGTCCGTCTGCTGTGCATCCCACGCCATACCACGCACACGCGCTGCTGCTGCTCGCGTCCCAGCTGCGCAATATCTCCGCCCACGAGCTGCTTCCGCCGTTCACTAACCCCGCTATCCCCGCTGATCCCCCTGCTGCTCCCCTCGCTGCTCCTCCCGCTGCTCCTCCCGCTGCTTCCCCCAGGAGCGCATCGCGCACCGCCAGCAGCGCAGCAGTCTCCGCAGCGGAGGCCTGCACGCCAGGCGCCGGCGCGGGGAGGTACCCCGAGCCAACCGCGCCCACCATGCGCGCGCTGTTGTTGCTCACGCGCAGCACGTCCCAGTCATATACCCAAAGCAGCGACCGCGAGTCCCAGCGTGCGTCGAACAGCGGACCGCGCAAATCGTTAAACCGCAGGTCCACGCGGGTGAAGATGCCGGTGAAATACGCCTCGGGAATGCCGCCGGAGAATGTGCGACAGGTCCAATATACTGCCCGTAGTACCAGTCAGAAGCACCGTGAAAGCTTTCAGGCTGCGCGAGAAGCTGTTGTGGCTCAGGTCCATCTCGATAGTCCACTCCCTACAGCGAGGCGTGCGCCCCGACTGCGCGGTCGTCGCGAGGAACAGGTCGGGGGGAACGCTTCCCCGGAGTCCTGCGTGCGGCGCGCTGAGTAGCTTTAGCTTTGCGGGAAGCACGCAGCCGTGCAGAGAGCCTCCCCCTTCCTCCTCACATCCGCCGCCGCTCGCGCTGGCGCTGCTCCCGGCGCTCGTGGCGCCCAGGTCGTTGAAGCCCAGCCAGACCTCGCGCGCCGGCAGCAGCGCGTCGCAGAACGGCCCGGTGAGCGCGTTGCTGTCGAGCCGCACTTCCTCGAGTGCCCCGAACGACTCGGAGTCGCGCAGAGCCGCGGGCACCGCGCCAGATAGACGGTTCTCTCCCAGGTCGAGATTCCGTAGCGCAGTCATCTCCGCCAGCGCGGGGGGAATGGCGCCGGACAGGCTGTTGTTGCGCAAGCTGAGCGCGGTGATGCTCCGCGAATACGTGCCCGTTCCCCCCGGGAGTTCCCCCGTGATGTTGTTGCTCTGCAGGTCCAACCGGCGCAATGCAGGTGCGTGGAGAAGGGCGCGCGGAAGCTCCCCCGAGAGCGCGTTGCCGGACAGGATAACCGTTTCCAGCGACGGGAAGTATGCATCGGGCCCGTCAGGAAGGGACCCCGAAAGGCCTTCGTATTGAAGTTGATATTCCGGGTATTCATTGAGTGTGCCCAGATCCACGTAGCGGAGTGCGGGCAGGCGGAAGAGACGGAATGGGCCCGGAGAAGTTGTTTTCGGGCATTTCAAACTTCGTCAGCTTCTGGAGGCGCGTGACGGAGTCCGGCAAGTCGCCGGTGAGGCACAAGTGGTGGAAAACCAGCGAGGAGAGCTCCGCGAGATCGCCTATCGCGGGCGAAAGCGCGCCGGGCGGGCAGCTCCCTCCAAACCCGACGGGCCCGGGCATGTCCTGGCGACTCGGGTCGGAAAAAATGCCCATTATGCGGCCGGTGGACGTGCACTCGAGCGCGCACCAGAGGTAGCACGACACACCAGCGGGCTTGGGCACAACGCAACACATTGCGGAAAAAGGTTGGGTAAATTTTCGAGTTTAAGTCACAGAGCCGCAGGAAAGTTGCGCAAAAGTTGCAGAAAAGTATCCGCAACCGAACTACCCGTCCTTGCAACTTTCCACATTTGCCACTAAGTACCGCACACAGGGTAAGGCATACATCGGCCGGACCGCCAGCGCGACGGAATGCCAAAATTTCCCCGCGGCTCGAGAAATCTCGTGCCGCAAGTGAACGCGGTTCGTCAAACAAGCACACTACTGCATCGCATACAAGGAATACCCGATTGCGTGTTGCGTGATACCTCAGAACACTTCCGCATTACGGTTGGTCCGTAATGTTTACATCTTTGTTTGATTCCGCAAGACGCAATCCGACAAAGCAGGCACATGTGATACACCAATAAGGCCTTCTGCATTATCAACCACAACAAACAGACATGGATTCGGCGCCCACCAGACTCGTGCAACCCATGCACACACTACGTCTAACACATGACATGACATCCAGGTCTACAGCTACCTCTGTTCTGCCCCCGCATACCGCAGTGAACAAGCGGGCCCACACTACAGCCCTACACCAAGCGTACGACTCTCTCCTTGGCATCCTCCACTGGGAACAACACACCCGCCTTCGGGATGTGGCCTCCCTCATCCGATGCGTCTGACGTGAGCCCCTTATCACTTGAGCTGCCGGCCCGGATGCGCTTAGTAGGCGTGCGTCGAAGGCGGCTCACCACCTCCTCATTCACCACGCCGGCCTCCTCTGGCACGTCGCGTGGCGGAATACCCTTCGCCTCCGCATGCTTAATGAAACCACCGTGAACCATGCGGCTCACGCGGCGACAGCTGCGGCTGTCGCACATGAGCGGGCCCTCCGGGATGCAGAAATAAGCCGGAATCTCATCCTCAGAGCCGACCTCCTCGTCCCCCTCTGGCGCCCACTTCTCAATGAGGACTTCGTCACACCCCACGAAGTCCCACGCCGTCATGAACGCCCCGCTGCTGCACTTGCTTTTGAACTCCTCAATCACCAGCTGCAGACTCGTCAAGTCCACCACCAGACAGTCAAACATTCCAGCCGCAGCTTTACCTTTCAGGCGGTCCATCCGCGACAACCAACCCTTCGGCACGGTACCAGCCCGCCACCAGCTCCTCTGGATTGTTCCAGGCATCGTCAACTTGCCCGCCATGAAATGCTTGTACAGGACATCGTGCAGCGGTGGCCGAGGGAAAACGCCCTCACGGGTCCACTCCGGGCTCGTGACCGCCGACCGCATAAACCACGTCCGGAACACTGCCTTCAATGCGTCCACAACACCATTTATGGCCGAGAACGCAACCGCTGGCATCACGCCAAATGTCTGCACAACCTTCACTCGTGTCAACTCCTCCACGACAAACCCATCCGCTGTGCTGGTCCGTTTGACACACCCGGTGAGTGTGTGCGTCGGGTTGTGCACCAGCACCACCGCCTTCTCGTTCTTGGCATGCAATTCCCCGTTGAACTCATCCATGTACTCCATGAACAACTACGCGGACAACACGGCCGATGTCCGGAATGCCGACATGAGTAAAGCACAACGGCCAACAAAACTGTACGACATACACAAAGCCGAGCAACCTACAAAGTCCACCTTTGTTCCTGCTCACCTCGCCAGAAAAGCGCCCATTCTTCGCGTAGCGCACTTTCACGTCATGCTCCTTCTTGCGCCCCTCATGTATGGGCCTCTTGTCGTCTCTTCGTAGAACAACAATCGGCGGTTTGCGGACACATCCGGTCGCGTTGTACATGAAGCATACGGGCATGTGCCATTCCCGAGACAGCTGCTCGCGCTCGGACGTCCCTAACGGCACCCGTGTGGGGATTAGTGGGAACTCCGTGAAAGTGAACACCTTTTCGGGCGGTGCCTTCAGCGCCTCGAAGAGGGATACCACGGACGCCATTTGCGTAGAAAAAGGTATGCAGCAACTCCAGCTTTGCTAAATCCCCTCAAGTGCTGGAATTTCCTATAGCCTTGTCACAGATGCCGGGTTGGGACCGCAAGGCCACTCAAGTGCCACATCAGCATAACATTGGGCTCCCGTAACCAGAAAGCGATTGCTCGAGAAACACCACCCAACTGTATCCACTTATTGTACAAAACTGCGCACCAATGACTGTGCGGCATTCGGATTACGACCACGTCCCAACCGAGCCTCCATCCCCCTCCGGATCGCGGTCGTGCCAGATGCCTAAACCACGGTACACCAAACCGGATCAGGCAGTGTGTTGCGCTTTCGATGAGTGCGCAAGGCTGTATACGCGGCACAGCATACCCCATCGTAACGCACGGGAGGATCAGACCCACAACATGTCTGCAACTACAGTGTTCAATTCACAACTACATAAACCAAAGCCGCCTGAACACATCAACGCATTATAGTATCCAAAATGGCGCACCATCTCACTATCTCTGGATCGCCCAATCGGCAGGGATTCCAACCTCACCCAACCATAGCGTGTCAGTCACTGGTTTGAGTCGCCCGGTAGGTTAAATAACACATGCGCATCCGCGTCTCAACCCTAAAAAACGTCCTCACGCATCGACCAATAAATCACTCACACAGCAGGAATTTGTTCAGTTGCAACACCGCTGGGTTGCTGAAAGAGCGAAAGATATGCACAACCCGCAAGATGCTCTCCACAGCAATCACTGCGTGCCTTGTATCCTTGCGCGACGGGGTCAGCTGCACGCAGGTGGTGAGAGGGCAAATGCCTGCCCTCTCATACCACCGCACGTACACAAACCCCTTCCGGTCGCCATCTGCCGTCTCCGCCTTGAAAATACACAGCGCCTTGGCATACCACTCCTCCTTCTTCGGTGACTTCACTGCAAAGTCAGTGAACCACTTCTCCTTGGGGCTTGCCTTGATGAACGCGCCCTTGGAGACCAGTGCTCCACCTTTGGTGCGCGGAACCGCCACGGCGGTATGGGCCTGCATGAAGGGGGGCATAGGGAGCAGGACGTCGTTCTGCTGTGTACAAACAAAGGACACGTAGGGGGCATAAGCACTTGCTGATACCACCCGAAGTGGTGCATACACCTGCACATGTGTACGCACCACGACCGCAGATGCCGTGATCCTAGCAGCCACTATGCTGCCTGGTAGCGCATCCATGAGGTCGCCCAGTGCCGTGCGGTAGGTACCCATCACCGCGTCGCCCTTCTCCGCCGGTCGCATTGTGCGGCCCTTCCTCGTGATCACGGGTTTCATCATCTCCACGGCCTGCGCGTGTGGTTGGACATGGGTGTAACGCGATCTTGTCCAGAAACAAAGAAACACGGTAAGGCATAGGGTCACGATCATACGGCCAACAATGGGATCTGCTACACACTGTCTCACCTCGCACAGCGCCGTCGCATACTGTCGCCCACCACCCGCGTCCTGTGCCACCTCCCTGCAGATCTCCCTCTGCACCTCCTCCTCCACGATGCGCCTGGGGATGTCCTTCCAGTTGCTGCCCCTGACAGGGATCTTGACCGTCCCCTTGTGGGTATGCTCCCACATCTCCGTGCTGTAGTGGTGTGGCATCCCGCGCATAATCACATTGTCCAGCAAATGGACAATCATGTGGATCTTGGGAAAGCGCCAATGCGATGCGTGGTCCGGGTATGCCTGTGGCAGGATCTCCACCAACCTGTGGTATAATGCATTGCATGATCATACGGTTGAGTCGGTGCATGCCAAGGCCAGAAACTGCAACCCACGCAAACCCCTATGTATGCATTCATTGCCTTCCACAACCCTTTCCCCCGTCAACTGCCATCCGACTTACTTGATGGCGTGGGCCCGTGCGATTGCGAGGGAGGCCTCCGTGTGTGCGCTGACCCCCAGAAAGGCCTTGTAGAATGTGGCGTACATCCTGAAAGCACGCACGCGCAGCGCGGCCAGTTCGCCGTCCTTTCCCGACCGCAGGGCTGACTTGTCCGCCACCAGGATGGGCATCACCTGCATCATGCTGCGGTGTTCGAAGGCGGCATAGTTCGCGCCGCTCATGAAGTAGGAGCTGCCCCCAGGGAGTCGCAAGATGACACTCGGAGTCTCTCCCTTAATTGTCTTCTTGCGCCTGTTGGAGTGGTATGCCCGAGAATAGGCACAGAGACAAGTTTGACGGAACATGGGTCTCCCATGCATACTTCAGGTGGTGCTGAACGTACGTGGCAATCCGAACCTACCCACCTCTCGACATCTCGCCACTCCGGCTTGCTTAGCACCGCGATGTGATTCTCCAGCATGTGCAAGGCCATCCCCGAATCCAGCACGTGCATGATGTCTGCCACGCATGCACCAAACGGGTTTCCCCACGTCGTGTGCGAGAAGTTCCACCGCGACAACACGCACTGCCGGGAGGGGTTGCAAGTTTGGGACGTCACAAACTTATCTCATGGTGCGTTCTAAGCATATGTAAAAGCATTCAACAACCCACGACCCACTAGACCCGTACCTCCACGGGATGAGTTGACCACTCGGTCTGAATCTCTTCCGCAGCTTTCACGGTCTTGCACGCAAGCATGTTGCGTAGCACATGCATCTCCGAATCTACTGTCCGAGGCGTGGCCGTATGCTCCAGGTCACGAAGGAGCTCGTCCGGGACATAGCATGTGCAGCAGGGCCGCTTGGTCCCTGTTTGCAGCGTCGCCGTAACTCTGCATTGTTCCATGAAGTCGCCGGGGTAACCAAAAAAACATGGCACGGCCTTCACCGGCTCACCCTAGGCGTCCGTGATGTAGAAGACTCTCAAAGGAGCACTGCGACGAGGGATGTAATCCGGATGGGGAAATGACACCATCAGTTGCACTCCGCAACATGCAACGAGCCAACAATCATATAACGACATGGTAGTCCTGCAGTGGTGCCCTATACGTACGTGGAAGGCTCCCGCATGAGTGGCGCCAGTATGATCCGAATTGCCTCCTGAAACACTCGGGCCTTCTCGGTAGATGTTGCCCACTCCGGAGGGATAGGCAGCACGGCAGCCAGAGCGTGGCCTGGTTTCGTCTTCCGCAACTCCTCCGGTAAGTTCACCAGCGAAATGAGGACAGGCCATGCCTGACGGCGCCCATTGCGCACTACGTTGGAGCCGTCGCTGTAGACAATGATGTCAAGCACCCATGCTGATGGGTCGTTCACGTCCTTCTGCCACACATGAGCGCGTGCTGTTGAGTGCACTTGGAGGCACGTCAGCCCAATCGAGGACATAGAACAACTACGCTACCTGAGCCTCCTCAAGCCATTTGGCCGTTTCCGGGTCGCTGTAAATCCGCTCGTTGGTCTTTGGGTCCACATCTTTCCGCGGTTTTGTTACGAACCCCTTAACTCCCCCAAAGATGCGCACAATCTTCTTCACAAGCTGGAAAGGCGGCACACGTCATTAGGCGACGTGGAATGGGAATATCACCGCGGTTCAAACGACCCTCACACAAGGCTGGCAAGAAACGGAAAGTGTACGTACCTCCTCCGTGTTCCTATAGTGAAGCGGGAGCTTCTGAGTTTGACCGCGCGGCCCTCTGACCATAATCTCCTCGCACAGCCACGGGACCATGTTCGGAGGCGCCCTGGCTTCCCCCCATCTCCGCACGTCCAGCCAATTGCGCCAGCGCCGCAATGCACGCAGGTTGAATCCGCAATCTCGGATTTCTGAATATATGCAACAAGCGGTTCACTTCGCGGCGTGAGAGGTCAGCGTCTCGGATGAAGAGATATAACGCAGTCAGTGTGTCAAAAATCTCTCCGTCAGAACTCTGGTCGCTACAGGTGGAGTGATCGTCATCATCGTTGTGCTCTAGTTCGGCGGCTGTCGGAGGTGCACTGCGCTTCTCCGACGATCTCTCACTCTGGCCGCCAGTGGTGGTGGTGCACGCGGGTGTACGTGGAGGGATGCGAAAAAATGCCTGACGTGCCTCGAGATAGGCCTCTGCTAGGAGGACTTTCCCCCGTCCTAAAATCTTTTCACGGCAGGCATCGCTAGATGCCAAGTGCGACTGCAACCTGTTGTCGTCGCGGAACGCTCTTCTGCATCCTCCGCACTCGTTGCCACCCATGATACCCCCGCAAACACTCCTCACGTGTAGTAGAATTTTGTGTGAGGCGAGCTTGCCCTCACACAATACTCGGTAAAACCGTACACTGTTTCCAATGTGATCAGGTATGTTTGCAAACGCGAGATATGCACAAGGTGGGAGTACTGCATCAAAGGGGTTGGTTGGATGCTATTATCGGAGCATGAGATTGTCGAGTATCCGACCTTCGGAACTCTAAGTTCCAAATGAGCAGCACAAACTGCATTATGCGCAGAGCGGCCTACTCCATACCGAGTACATTTCGTGCATGCATGCGTGATCTGCATGTCATGGTTACGCGCCAACTGTCATGCTTTTAGGTTTTCCCGCCAACACACCTTCAGATCCATACATCACTTCCAAGGCTAATTCCATACTGCGCACCTCTAAACTGGCCGCTGGACTGTGTTCACGCTTTGACCCTTTTTCCATAAGTTGGACAACGATGCATACTCAGTCATTTCCATCTCTTAGCTTACCATTCGCTCAAGCATCCCGATCCGACATGTCCCCTCTTGGGCGTGCCCGCGATAAGCAGTGTGTTTCTAAGGAACGTTCCCAGCGCGGAGCTAAGAGCGGCAACACTGGTGGCGATGGAGATATAACGGAGGTCCGACCTATAGCGCGTTGCCTCCGGAGCGGTAGGCGACAGACGTGTAATGACGACCCTTCCAAGAATGAAGGCTTGAAGACGGACGGAGGCGACGTTCCTGTGCAGGTATACAAGACCAAGCTGGAGACCGAGGCGGAGCTCCTAGAGCCTCACGACCTTGTCTATCGCCTCCGCACAGCAAAACACCCCGAGAACATGAAACACCTGACGCTATTCAACGCGGACGGCGTTGGTTGTGTCGTGGAAGCTTCGGACATCATCACCATCGCCGACGGTGAATGTGTCACCGACGCCATCGTTGACTTTCACAATGTGTGAGTGTTACACCGCGAGTTTTTCCGGCCATGTCGTTGCTTGACGATGATTTCTTGCTTTTCGTGGCATCAGCGTTCCAACGAGGGTCATTGACCGGTCTGTATGCAGGCTACTGAGCATTCGGCGCCCCACAACGCCCAACGGCTCTACATGGGCTGCAGTCGACAGCAAGGCTTTTGACTACTGCAACTCGTTCAAGAAGCCTTACTCTATGGGCAACTCTTCACGACTCTTTGACGTGGAATTCTTGGCCATTCCGATATTCAAAAGGTGAGATGCAGTAGTTAGCGGCGCTGGTTTGAAGATAGTCCAGTGCTCATCTACTGCCACAACCGATTCACAATCCTGTTTCCCTTGCCATGTTGCAGTTCGCACTACTCGCTGATGGTCGTGCCGTCCCCAAAGAGGCTGCTGTGCGCTACAACGGATGAAGCCACTGCCCCTCTGGAGTTGATCTTACTCGACAGTTACGGCACGCACCGTGATGACCCATCTGTGTTTGATCGCGTCAAACTGTAAGATTCTGATAGCACATGGTGACGCGTGGTTGTTAGCCTCCTACCCCATGGTGAAGTGTAACTCATGCTCTACGTTGTTGCGGTCCCAGGTTTCTGGAGTTAACCGCCAAGGACCTACACCCGGAGTGTGACGAGGCCACGATTGTTTCCGGTCTAAGGGATGCGAAACCAATTCCGATGAAGGTGGGTGCATCTCCTCAATCTAACCGGTGCCAACGGCGGTCATACAACTTACCTCCGAGTGTACGATTTGCCTTCTGTGGTTTCTGACGTGCGTGCAGAAGCATCAGGTGCACCAGCAGGACAACACGCATGATTGTGGCATCTTTGTGTGCCACTTCCTGAAGGTGTTGGTGGACACTGACTTCCGGAAACTGCGCTCTTATCTGTACTTGGAGGGCGTCAGTGTGTTGGAGATGCGGCGGGCCATGCGGGGAGACCTATGCATGCATGCGGCTGACGAACTTATACTGGCGCTAGTGAGACTGGGAGTGGTCGTCCCGAGGCAACCCGCCCCCAGAGTCGCGAAGCATGGTGCAGTTGTCGATTCAGGTGAGGAGGATGGCAACACGAAGCTGACACGGATGCAGGTGGAGCACTACAGCCTGAAGAGGGACCTTGCGATCTGGAAAGCAGCCGTCACAACCGTCGGAGCGGCCATGGGCTACAGTGTCGACCAGCTCATTGCTGGAGCTGCCCACGTCCTGCAGGAGCAAGCTTCTGATGGGGGAGCGGCGACACCTGGCTCCAGCCGATCCATTGCACCGTCCACGCCCAAGCCACGTGCAGGCGCGCGGCCAGGCGCCACCGACAGCCCTGGTTCCAAAGGAGAGCCTCCTGTGAGTGTTGCCCAGGGTGGTGCCAGCACTGCATCTGTCAAGATAGGGGTGGTACATCCGAGTCCGTGCCCGCTGCCCGTGCCGGCGAAGCCGTTGTGGTCACTGAATGCCGCCCTGGTGAGTGTGCCCATCACGCAGGATGCAGCGCATACGGTCGTTCACCCAAATGGGACAAGGCCGGTGGTATTGGCTATGCCGGCAAAGAGGAAACGAGGCGACACTCCTCCGTCCGGGAGCGATGCCGAGGGCGATGTCGCCGCTTGCACGAGCAAGGGTAAGGGACAGGGACGTAGCTCCAAGTACAAGGGTGTGCGTAAGGAGAAGCGGGGGAGGTGGAGCGCCAAGATCCTGTTCCGGGAGAAGAATAAGGTTAAGCGCACCCAGATGAGGCTGGATGCGTACAACAAGGAACTGGAGGCAGCCACGGCGTACGCAGCAGCGGTGCACGTGGTCAAGGAGGGGCGACGTGTGTCAGGGACAGTGGAGCTGTCAGATGAGGAGAGGGGTCTGCTGAAGGGGTGCACATTGTCCGCTGTCAAGAGGCTGGTAAGGGGCAGACAGTGGTTTCGATGGACAGAGTGGGAGACGGCACTGGCGGACTGTCCGGAGGAGGATACAGGCGGGGAGGGGGAAGCGCACTCCGAGTCGCATGATGACCACGCGGCGGATGCGCCTGGATGTGCCGCCAAGGAGGTGGAGGAAGAGATTGAGATGGAAGGGGTAAGGATGGGCGGTTCTGAGGCGAAGGTTGGGAGGGGAACGCCGCATGAGCTCAATGAGGAGGCGGCTGCTACGATGGACGGAGTGGCAGAACAAGGGATACATACAGGGGTTGCGCTGGGGGATGCCTTTGAGGGGGCGATGTTTGATGTTGACCCAGAGGGGGTGACAATGGGATGATTTTGTGTTGCATGTGTTTCCTATTTTAGCGCAAAGATTGTTGTACTCATGTAATGACATGCTCTAAGTCACTGTATACATTAGTTGGTTTCGGGTGGTGTGTATAACGAACGCTATGAGCATACGCGGACTGCTTCGCGAACGTATGAAAGGCAGTTGGGTTGGTGTACCGAGGGGGAGGGATCACGCGGGATCCAATGAGAGGCTCACACATGGCGGGAGGGACGGGAGCAATCCTGTGCACCAAACGGGACTGGCCACCGTGATTGCGTATCCGAAGGTGGGACCTGGCACTGGGTCCGGGTGGAATGTGCATACTTTTGTCAATTGGTCTGCGGTTGTTGTTGGAGCCTCGGTTTGCATCTCCGGAATGAAAACATCGTTGGGAACATCGGAAGAACTGCCAGCAGGCCGGTCACAGAGGCCTAAGCGAACACCAGCGTATCTCCGCAACGAGTATCACCTGACTGGTAAACGGTCTCGTGAGCCGAAATGTGTGCGCGGGAATGCGGGGCAGTACAAGCGTCCGCGGGTCACCAAGCAGAAGTGTGTCCCTGTCGCAGGTATTTTTTTTTTTCTTTTTTTTGGGGAGGGGGGGGGGGGGGTGGGGTTCGTTGCTCGGGACACGAGTGTAGTTGCGAGTTTGTTGCTGTTTTTGGAACTACTGACGTGTAACCGAGGCGGCTGCATGCTCTGTTACTATTGCGCTTAGGAGTGGCTAGTGCGGCACAGTGAGCATCGCAAGTGAATTCGATTGCGGCGGTTGCGTCAAGCGTCGGTGCAGGCGATGAGGATATCGGCAGCGATGGGGGAGGCGAGGCTGCGCCGGTCCGCTCCAAAGCGTTCGCGTCTGTTATGGCAGACGTGAACCCTACCGCGCACGACACGGCGGCGAAGGCTCCGCCGCCCCCGGTGCCGGACAACCCTTTTGTGGCGATGCCGAGCGGGTCTGCGCAGCTGGCAAGTGGTTCTCGCCGGGAGGAGACGTCCACAAATGACAACGTCGTCATAAGCCGTGCCGAGCTCGAGGCCCTGAAGACGGCGCGAGACGACGGCGACCGGCGGATTGCGCGCCTGGAGGCGCTGCTGCTGGCCGCACAAGATCCGAGAACGCAGAACAAGAGGCAGAGATGTCCGAGGGAGGAACGGGCGCGCGGTGATGCGAGGGTGAGCAAGCGCCGGCGGGTTGATTCGGGCTCGAAGGACGCTTCATCCGCTGAGGAGGATGCGGTGGAGGCAGAAGCGGAGCCCGCGAGGGTCCGCCATGTGCGCAGGAGGCGCCATATGACAGAGTCGAGCTCTCCCATACTTCAGGAGGCGTTTGATTTCATGCCGGCGGGGAAGGCGTGGAATGTGAGGTACCTCTTGCACGTTCTTTTCTATCATCTTGCGTTACTTGTGTAGGTCGTTTGTGCGTGTCGGCGGTTCTAGCTCATGGAATGAAACGTTGGCGTATGACCTTCCGTTGTGTTGGCAGAAACATTGCGACCATGTGAGGGAGTACCTGTTCATCGAGCGGGGGATTGGTGCAATGACATTCTACCCAAGCAGCTACGACAAGACCCTGGGGTTATGCTGGGTCACCCCACGGCTGACGCTTAGTATGCTGGTGTCGCATTGGCGGCCGACAAAGTGCGACGCGATGACTTGAACAAGACACTGAGCCAGTGGAAGACGGAGCTCGCAGGCCGCGTACGAGACATTGCGCTGCAGCGCATTGGACTGTGGCGCGACGAGAGAGATGCGAAAAGTCCGTGGAAACGCGAGAAGCGCAGGGAGGCCGCGGAGGTGCGGCTTCGGTATCGCGTTCTGGACGACGTGAACGGTTGGCTCTACACCGGTCACCATCCAGAGATATGGAGTGCGTGTTGGTTGACCTGATGTTGATTTGGTCGATGGTGTGTGCAGAGGACCTAACACTGTCAACCTGGAGCGAGAGCAAGACCGGTATGATTTTTGCTAGTGGGACATTCACCGCGTGCGCCGCCACCGCCTTCCAGCCGAAGAAGGTCACAGGGACAGTGACGGTGAAACTGTACCAGTTGGCGTGGCTCGAGCATGTGGTGAGTTGCATCACTTGGACGTGCATACTTCGGACCGTTGGAAATACTCATGCCAGTGCGAGAGATGTTTGTTGTTACACGCAGGTGACGGACACGATCCTGAACTGGGACAAGCGCAAGGGCCGGCTGTCAAACTCTGCTGGCGGCAACGCGCAGGTGGTGAACGGGCTGCAGGAGGTCGCCGTTGCGGCAGTGGCACAAGCGATCAAAGACTTCAAGCCAATGTACGATGCAGATGCGGCGGCGTGGGTCTGGGGGGAACATGGGTTGATACTGTCGTCGGATGGGCTCGAGCACCTGATTCCCGGCCGGTATGCGCAGAGGGCGCCAGTGGTGGAGGAAGGTGCATCGGTTTCTCGATAAACGTGGCTGAGGCAGGGGTTGGTGATCGACGGCGTTGGTTCAAGCAGAAGCCATGTGGCGGATGTTGATGCTTTGTTGTTCGAGAAATGGGTGATTTGGTAGTTGCGGGTGTGCATGTACGGTTGCGCTTTGCACAAAGCACATGGTATAACGTCGGGCGGCGTGGGAGTGCGCTTGCCAGTAGTGTTGGTGTGTGTGAAAGTAGGCTTGTAATTGTAGTGTTGCAGTTTGTGGTGAATAAAGTTGGTGTGGACAGAGTTGATATGTGGCATACTTTTTGTTGTTTCCACGTAGTGGCATGGGCGAAACACAAACGTGATTGCAATAACGCACACATTTGGCGCATGCACGGATGCCGTACCGTGCGCCATCCAATGGTGGGCGTAAAGGGCGCTCCGGTGAGATGGACGGGTGGTATTCACGCCGTGTTCACCGGCGTCTTGCCCGTGAGACTGTAGGATGCAGGGGTTGCACGGGTGTGCAACGATCCAGATTGAGTGTACTTAGATGTGGTAACATTGCGGCGGAGTAGACGGTAATGTTCGGAGTGGGCGCTTGTTGGGCCGGGTATGAAAAGTGTGCGGATGACGGCGTGCCCGCGATGGCGCGAAATACGCCGGCGACGGTGTTTGGAGCCAATCACGGGGACAGTGGTGGTGACAGGGTTACGCTATGGCACTTGCTTTATTGGACGGGCACACAGGGTGCCGGCACCTGCGGCCCTGACAGTGGGCTCCGCCGCGCGTGCGGTGGTATTCGGTTTGGGCGTTACTGGGTTTGGGGCGCGCGCTAGTGGTGGACGAGGGCGCACGCGATGGAATTGCAGTGGTGGGCAATTTGGGGTTACGCCGGTGTGGGCCAGTCTGTATTCCACACGTGCGCGAGCACGATTGGTGTACGTTTCGACAGTCAACCGTATGGGGTATATTTGGACACAGTTTCAGGATGCCACGGTGGCGCCGCGTTGTAACCGGGTACGCAGCATTCGAGAGGCGATGTTTCTGCAATCATCATGCAACTGCGCGGCATGATATTAGCGTTTGCAATGTGTGCGGAAGGTGGCGCAAAAGTGTCTGCGTGTTTGCAGTATTGTGTCGGGGGAGTTGCGGGGCAGTTGCAGAGTTGCAACTTTCCTGCAAGTTTTTGTCAACTGTCCAGTGACTCGCATTTCTGCAACCTTCATCCATCACTGCGAAGTTGCAAAACCAAAGTATCGCCAAGTAACTTTTCTGCAAGTTTCCTGCAGCCTACAGGCAAGTCCTTTTTCGCGATGCAATACGAGACGTTGTGGTTGTCGTCGAACATTTTATACTGCGGTATGCTGTCGTGCCAGTAGAACATCATCTCGGGCAACGCCGCGTACACCGCGCGCATGGCCTCACGGTCGACCTCCGCTATCTCCGCGATGCACCCATCGGGGATCGGCGGAGCGGTGTAGGCTTCCGCCTGGCGCGGGAGGGAGATGAGCGCGAGGACGGCGATGAGGGTAAGGCGTGAGGGGACAGGGAGGGGATGTAAGAATCTGGAATGTGCGGATTAGAATGAGAGTGTGCGTTTGGAGAGGTGGAAATAGCACAAAAAGTATAAAGTTGACAACGCGAACATTACTGGTGCAAGTTGTATTACTGGTACTAATGCCAGGCGTTGTTGCACGGATTTTGTGGGCGGGACTCGAGGAGGGTCGAGTAAATATAGTAGTAGTAATGGCGTTAGTACCTGTGCTGTGACGTTGAGTAGCTAGCAGCATAATCGGGTTTTCCCCACGTTTGGAACGTTGACTTTGTTGACGGGAGCTCGGGAGGCTCTAAGGCAGAGGAAGGTTGAGCAGAAGCAGATTTGCGGAAGGGTTCTCTAGGAGTACGAGGCGCGTTTCGGCCCGGCGCTTGCTGCGAGAATGATCAGCCATAGTAACAGCGAGTACTGTTGCGGCGCGATCGCTGTCGCTGGCAAGCACAAGGGGAGGCGTGAAGAGGGGCATTGGTGGTGCGACAAGGTCACTACAGTGTGTACCATGAGTAGTGGTGGTACTGCCTAGTGTTTTTGCCAGCGAAGTGCCTGATTGGTTTCTGGTGAATCCAGCTAGGCGAAGGCGAGAATTTCACGACGTCGTGAAACATGCACCAAGAGGGTTGTGGAAGGTGTGAGAGCAGCAGCGAAGGCGGAAGACACTGCAGGACTTGGAGAGAAAGCGGTGGAACGGGAGTAGAGGTAGGGCGTGCATGTGGAGGTGGGAGAGGAACCGTATCAGATGGAATATGGGGAGGGAGGAATGGAGGGACGGTGGTGGAAGCGGCTCTGGTGGGTTGGGGTAGGTTGGGGTGGTTTAGAGGGAGGGACAAATGGGTATAGTTGGTTGGTTGTTGCTGGCTGGAGTCAATCCAAGCCGAGTCGCATGTCACATTTCAGGTGCATTCCCCAGGTTCGGCTTTGTTGCATTTTGTCCGACCGATAGCCACGTAACATGCGGCGGGATCCTCGTTGATGTCTCCCGAAACAATTCCAATCCTTAGATATATGTTTTCAGCTACAATAGTACTTACTCTAAAGGGCAGCTCTAAAGAATAAGGTACAGATGCTCTAGCTTAGAGGCCCTTCCTTTAAGAGTCCCGTTTTCTCGTTGAGAAGCCTTTCACGTAACTCCTAGGTGTATACCCTACTATGCAGTTCCATTTTTGGCGAAAAATCTTGCATCTTGGCTGAAGCAAATCAGAGGACGCTTGCCGGGACCACTGTCACGAGATAATTTCGCCCGGTCGGCGCCCTTTGCCGCCCTCCCACCTCCACTACCACCTCTACCAGGCTTTCTACGCTGCCCCTGCTGACAATTCTGCTTCGTCGGTGCAGCATAATTCGCTTGTGGAATGAGCTCCGTGGGTTGTTCTGCCTCAGGGCAAATTTTATCAGTGTAAATCACCCTGATACCCTGATAATCAGGGTGGTTTTTGGTAGTCACACTGATGGCCTATGGTAGATTTTTTTTGTATTAGGTTTTTCCTGATATGCCAGAGTTTTTGTGTAAGGCACACTGATGCCTAAGGGTTTCCGATTCCCGTAACGGGTTTTACCCTGTAGCGAGTACCCTTACCCCCCCCTAGTACACCCACCCCCCCTTTCCCGTAACCTGGGATTCCCGAGAGTCAACTGTCGAAGCCGGAATTTTGGCCTTGGCAACTCATGGTCTGATGATGATGACCAAATTCTGTATTGAGTGCTTTGTTGAAAAGTAATGAACGGGCTTTTTTTATATTGTGCACTGATGCGACAAGGGTTTTTTTTTTTTGAAAGTTAAGTTTACCCTGATGGAAAAGTTTTTTTACAAGGGGTCACACTGATAATAAGGTTTTTTAGCTTGTGGTACACTGATGACAAGGGTTGGTCAAATCCAAAAACTTGCCCTGTTCTGCCTCCTGCAGCACCTTGTCCTTGATGACATAGCTGGTGAGAGAGTCATCATCGATGACTCACGTGTACCGGACATCATCATCATCCCCTTCACGAGGTTGTAGCTGCGCAGCAGGCCCTTGATGGCGTGAGTGATGTAGGACGCCGTCGAGTATTCGGCGCCCGCCATCCGCATCTCAGCCAGAACCCGTCGAGCATGATTGCAGTACCGACTCTTGCTCGCCCATCAGAAAGTGTGACATCTGCTCCTCTAGCTGTCCGATGTATAGATCGTCCGTCGCCTAGTACGTCGACTGGATGAATCGCCACGCTTAGTGGCCAACATCTAGTCGCTGTCGACACGACCTGAGCGCTATCGGCACCACCGGCGAGCATCACTTCGAGATAACCATGAAGGTGAGCATGTGAGTAGCACGAAACTCCCCGCGTAGCTCGACCTCGTCATCGGGCGGGATTGGCACGGTGCCGTCGGCGAAGCCCTTCAGCTCGGCGTGTTCGAATATAACTGTATGCAGTGTAGACTGTAGTGTATGTAATATTTTCCTATAGGTGGTGTACTTGTCCTTCCATAGTACAATCCCTCTTGATTTAGCCAAACTCTCTTGTCACATCCTTGCCTTGCTTTAAACCCTAAGCCATGGCTACTACAGATGCTCCTAAGTTATTATAGCTATGCTACTATCTTGACACGGCGACCTCCAGCTGAGGTTCTATCGACTCCCTCGTCTAGGTGATGAGATCCCGTCGACCTTGCAGAGGTGTGACGGTGATTCTGTCCGGCGGAAACTTGAAATAGCCATACGCCAGTCACGTGCGTCGTCGCCGAGAACCCTCCTCTACGCGAGCTGTCTGCAGCCGTCGTCGACTGCTGTATTCGCGCTGACTCCCGTCGACGCCACCTTTGTCCTTGATCACCTTTTCCTTTGCGTGGCGGGGATCCGCCTCTGGTTGTTCAGGTCTGTCATGCCTCTCCCGCCAATTTCCAGATCTCGCTTTTTCCCTCGCCACAGCTCTCACCAGCTCCCCCACGCGTCCTCCCCGTCCCCGGCCTCTCCCGCGTGCCTGGTTGCCCGTCCGTCCCGCCGTGTTTCGCGGCCGTCGTCATGCCGCTGCCTCGTCCTCTGCCCGTTCTCGTAAGGCACGCTGCCTGCTTGTCTCCGTCCGTTCCCTATGCCGCTCTCGTGTCGCCACCGCGTCGTCAAGCGCGTTCGTCTCGAGGTCTCCTAGATCCGACTGTGCAACGTTCTGATGCCGCTCCTCTGCGCTTCTCTGTTCTTGCAGGTGGCTCCGTGATGACGGGGAAGCACCGTCGTCCCGCGCAGTCGCCTCGCCCGGCCGCGTATGCCGTTCCCAGCACGTCAGGGGCCCAGGAGGGGCTGGCGCCAGCCCTGCTCCGAGCCGTCGCCACCCTGGTCGAGCACGGGGGGGGTGGAACCCCTGCCCGTCGACGTGAGCCGATATATCGGTCTCCACGCGGGCGGACCCATCCTCACCTCCGTGCCCGCGGCGGTTCATTTCGTCGCCGACGTCCGCCTCCCCCATCTCTTGTCGTCCGGCGGGAGATTGTTGGCCCGCTGCTACCGTCTCAGGCGTCGTCC